GAGATGATGAGGCAATCCTTAGTTTCTATACAAACATGAAATCACGAATAACTGCTTGATTAAAGAATGTTTCGGAAATATACGAGTAGGTCATACCAAAGACAAAAAATTTTTTAACCTGTGTTATAAACATATCATTGAAGAAGAATGCATTCTTCTAAAACAATGAGATAGACGATTATCGATAGCTCTATTCACGATCTGCTAACACTTACCGATTACCTTGATCGAGTCACTCGATTTTTATTTATTCGACTATGCACATCGTCTGTTATAAGACTTACATAATTTGATCCGTTAGAATGTAATTGCTGAACCTATACTAGACTTTAATGTTTACAAATTTTATTTGTTAATGATTGTAATTAGGTATTGAGAAGTTTGAAGATAATTGGTATAATAATGTATGTTACATACACAGAACTATATCTCGATATATGTAGTTGTGTGGTTACATACATATATTGAGTTGGAGAATTCTTCATTAAAATTGCATATCTTTATTTAAAAGAAATATAAATCATTAATATACACATCCATATCACAAAATAATTATGTAGTATAGGAACTTAAATAAACAAATATGTGTAAATATTTAAAACTACGGTTTATGACGCCATTTTTTTTAAAATGGATAGAATGGTTAAAGAATTAAAGAGAAAGGTTAATAGTTGATAAATTTAATATAAGCATTGCATCTGTTCAATCCTTCTCCGAATGATACGACCAAATGTAGGAATTGAACATAAGATCGCATACAATCTGTAGATAAGGTCTAACATAGTTCAAATGCATTTCATTTGTCAAGTTGAGACAGCAACAATAATGAATGCCTTAATAACAATGGATCAGTGACTAATCTGTGATCCACGCAGCTTCCAACACGGCTCCTCTAATAGACCTGTAATTGTGTCCTTGTAAAGCATATTAAGTTTATTCCAATATGAACTTTGGGATTCGCTCCTATTCAATTAATATTTATGTAGGTACTAACTTTAAAACTTTTTCTTTTTTTTGGTTGATTTATACGATCATGCGTATTGTGTAGTTACTCACAAAGAAGGAATTAATAAACTATAAATTAATAGTAGCACCCAATAATGTTACGTGAAAGAACAAATTATTTCTATTCCTAGAAATTTAGGTGGCAATATCCGTTTAACAGACGTATTAAAGTCTTAACCTTAATACAGATTCATCGTCTATTTGTCATATCGTGTGTGTTGTGGTTCTATTTTAATATTTATGGTGCTAATTGTTGCAATTGTCCGACCTAAGATTTTTAAAATCGGACAAATACTAAATAATCCATTGATTCATATATTACAAGTAAACTTAAATAAAACAATGTAACGTTTACGACATCACAAACAAAAATCCAAGTCCAGTTAGGTACCTTAAAAACGTAATCGCGTTTAACCATAACTAAATACCTACAAATAACTGGCGGCCATATTTAAATACCCGATTAAAACTATTACCTAAATGTTACGCTTCAAATAAATCAACTGCGTTTTATTTTTGCAGCGTAATAGATTTTAAGTCGAGGTCATTGTTTGAATGTCATACGTCATAGGTCAAAGTGAAAAAAGTTCCTTCCAGTATATTTGTGGAGAAAATTCTTTTCATTTTTTTAGTTCGGGGTTTGTTAATCTATATTAAGAGTATACTATTTTGTGTTTAAATCACAAGGTACCGCTTTAAGGGGACTGATGACAGGTTTGCGATTAACCATTGGTTTTTGGTGGTGAATTGACGTTCCGGTCTGGTGGACTAAATGAAAGTTTCGCTTAGGGAGAGACTAGGACTTAACAGGCAAAATATGTTCCCTGCTAGGTACATCGGCCTCTCTCATATGGACAAATAAGAAGCGATCCTGTATCCATCTATTCAAAAACGATAAGAGCAGTACAAGGTAAAACCTTTTTTTTTTAATTTTAAGCCTTTTAACCTATCCTCAATCATTCGTTCGAAACCTAGCAAATACGATTTCGTATTTTTCCAGGGCATATGTCATTTCTAAGTTTTTTTTAGATATTTTTGGCATGCAGCAAATAATAAACATCGTGAGAAAACCTGCACTTATTTCTAATTAAGTTTTGAATCGCCAGCACGCCTTCACCAAGCATGGTAATCACCTTCTACTTGGGAGAAGATTCCTTTATTCATTAGTGCCCTCTATAGGCTGGAGGTGATGATGAAAGTCAAAGTCAAGTCAGATGATGTATAAGTCTGATGATGTATGCCTGACATAGATGATACTTGGATCATAGTGGAACACAGCTAAGAAAAGATGCAACAGGAACGCGTAGGTTGTAAAATGGCTGTAATTGTGCGTAATAGAATTACGTCATAGGTATTGTTTTGATTTAGTAATGTTCTTCCTTCAGCGGGTATTGTAAGGTGAAATATATTTCAGTATATTAAAAATAATACCTAGAGTAGTACGTAAATGTATTTCGAAAAAATATTATTACCTATGGTTTGATAATAACCAAAGAAAGTAAAAAATACTACTCATTTACATATATTTATTTTAATAACTCTATAATTACATTTTTAAATATTACTAAAAAAACAATAAAATAAGGAGGACTGCCTTCTGTATGAGGCCCTTGATCCATCCGCCTAACGTCAGTCTCTTAAGGTGGTTGTCGAGGCTTTTCTGGACTAACCCATTTGCCGACACAAATATCGGCACAATGATAGCCGAGTCCACACTCCACATGTCACCAACCTCGTGATCCAAGTCAAGATATTTCAATTGTTTATATTTCTCAGCTTTCACGGGGTTCTCGTCATGGGGAATGGCAAAATCGATAATCATCGTATGAAGCGCCAGTCGGTCTATCACCACTATGTCAGGCTTATTGGCCACAATAGTCCTGTCAGTGATGATAGACCGATCCCAGTACAAGGTGATATGGTCTTTTTCAAGAACTGGGTCGGGCACATACCTGTAGAACGGTACCTCAGACTCAACAAGCCGGTATTTCAAAGCAAGTTTCTGATGAATGATTTTGGCCACCTGATTATGTCTGTGCAAGTATTCGCCATTAGCCAAACGACTACAGCCGGAAATAATATGTCTGATGGATTCACCAGGGCTATGACATGCCCGACATAATTATGTCAACTGTCCCATCCTTCATAATATATTTCCGGCAGTTATTCCTAAGGATAACTTCGTCCATAATTGCACATACAAATCCTTCAGTTTCTCCGAAGAGGTTACTGAATCGCAGCCAAGATACGGACGCTAGAAAATCTACATCGGGCCCGTGGAGGACCCGGAAGAAGCGTCCGTGAAGCTCCTTGCTACTCCATACCTCCTTGCGGTCATTGACGCTCAGTACTACGAGTTTGTACCAGTTCTCTTCAGCCAAGGATAGTGGTGTGAGTCTACTGATTATTGCTTACTTCTTTTTGACAGAAGAAATTATAAGTTAACAAAATGAAAAACAAAATGAGAACAAATAATGAACATATAAATTATATTGAATTTGCATTCAAGTAGATACCTAGTAAAGATTCGAAGAAAATCATTGATAATCTAGAGACCAAATAAAATTTTATTCGACGAAAATCGGTTATGAAAGTACTACTACCAAAGAGGCTGTCATCATCACTATAACACCTTTACTGACTGAACTGATGAGCTAACACATTCCTCTCTACCCTCAAGGTTATTGAAGATAGGCAATAAATTCTACTGAGCCTAAATCTTAGAAAAACTGAAAGTGATTGTATTACATGGGTAAAAGTTACAACACGCGTCTGTTTAAAAGGATGTAGCTTGTCAGTGCCTCAATAAGGCGCTAATTTTATTGGTGTTAGCAATTCTCTGTGTAGATATCAGCTGTTTTCTTGGTGATTGTTTTAAAATTTTGGGACTTTTATCCCTATATAATAAGACACAATAACTAAGCATTTCCAATTTTTTTCTAACGATGATTCAAAAGACGATAAATAAAATTCTTATCAAAGAAGTGATATTACTAATGTAAACACATTATATACTTGTATAATAGTAGTTCATTTACAGTATTAGTGGGCCTCGGCCATCTTGGTTCAGCTGGGATTGCGTGGCAAGTGAAATAAAGTACCGTGGCCTTGGCTTGCAGCAGGAGAAGGAACGGGGTACTTAGTTTAAGTCAGCAAGAGTCTGATCTCCCTCTCGTCTCAACACCTTTAACTTGATAGTCTTGCCCAGGACAACTAAATATGCTATAAATAAAAATTAATTTTAAAGGCATGATACAAGAAATAAACTTCTCAATATCAATAAAAACATTTATTACAAAACAAAGTAAAACATAACAATATAATTTAGATACTTCAATATTAAACTACACAGTGCCTACGATACCAAATTGACTATTACTAGGTTTTAAATATTAGTCACGGATCAAAATGTCAGCCATTTTAAAAGCAAAAACTTCTGGCATCGGCATTGCAAATCCATTGACTAGTTTTTAGTAACAATTTTGAAATAGGTAACAAAAATCAATCATCATTTTGTAAAGCCTCCATTGCTGTTTTTATATATAAACCAGTTACTACACCATTAAATAAACCTTCAACGGATGCAAATTATGTAAGCAGTTCTAACAATTTATTATAACATCGTCTTGCCGTTATGGCAGTTTGACATTGACATGTGTCAAGCCGCCATTTTGGTAGCTAAGATTGACGTTTGACGAATCACTTTAAGTAATCTTTTGATTGTGATGCCATAAATGAATAAATTTTACTTTTAATTCCATATCACTTGTCATTACATTGCATATTAAAAGAATATCATATTATTGAGAGCTTTGTGTCAAAGTATTTGTATTTCCCAACTTTTTATACTTGATATTCTAAGCACTTTACGCCTACGTAATAGTAAACTTTAACCATGGCAATGATTCCTAATTATAAAATAGTGTCGTCTGGGAAGGGTATTGTTTATTTTTTTTTCATGTTATCTACTCCATCTTTCAATTTCACATTTTTTTTTAATGATTATAAGCAAATTCAGGAATGGTAGCATAGCCTGAATTGGCATTGCCAGCATATCCATTATACATCATTTGAGAGCCAGATGCATGGCCTGTAGGAGCTTGAAACGCCAACTGGGCACCAGACCCATGACCTGAAGGAGCGTGGAAAGCCAATTGACCATTGCTATGTTCTGATGGTAGTTGAAAAGTTAGTTGCGGTCCTGAAGATTGTGCTGCTTGAGCATGGTAGGCTAATTGAGGGTTTGAGCTATGAGATGGGGCGTTGTACGATGCTTGAGCGCCAGAAGCATGGCCTGAGGGAGCATGAAATGTAAACTGAATGCCCTCGTTTGCAGAGGCCTGATGTCCCAATTGGGTACCAGAAGAGTGGCCTTGAAAACCTTGGCTGGACAATGCATTGGCTGCATGAGCGTGGTAAGCTAAGTCGGCGCCAGAGAGATGATTTGATTGACCATGGAACGCCAGGTTAGCGCCAGATCCATGTCCTGATGGGACCTGGTAGCCAATAGATTGGTAAGTGGCTTCGTGCTGCTGGTGACCACTAGCGGGACCATGGCCAGATTGCTCCTTGTATTTTCCTGGAATGTAGAATGATAGCAGATTATTTTTTGTAATTGCATAGTAAATACATTAATTTTCTTTCAAATTAATTAACTTTCAAAGTTTTTTGGTTACTAAATCGTTTTGGTCTAAATATTATATATTTTTATTTATTTGGTTTCTTTAAGGGCCTCTTTCACAATATTAGGATGGCTTTAGAGGCATCATTAACAATCAACATATTTCATAGTTTGACCCAAAACGAGAAGGTATTATATGTTATTGTACAATGTCGTGTTTGTATTCACATGAGAGCCCTTATGAGCTATGTGCCACATACGTTTTTCGGATACTTATATTATAAGAATGCAGTAAACAAATACTTAGGCTTTGTAACATTGTACACTACAACTGTGACTACAATTTATAAGATGATTGCATCAAGTTCATTCATAAGCTTCACGTTCATCGATGAACGTGTTGATGGTTCGATCTAAACATCACAGATGGCGCTACTATTAACATTCTTACAAAATAATATTTGGCATGTTAGCCAAATATTTATCATCATTCTCCAAAGAAATGTAATCACTATTTAACACGTACCGTCATCAAAAATACCAGCGGCTTCATCCTTAGCATTCAGTTCCAAGCTCTTCAGTATCTCCTCAGGCACTGGTGGTGGTGTGGGTAGGTGCTGTCCTTGAGGGTGGAAGCCATGCTCATCAGCAGTGTAAGTGACAGTGTAGGTTTGGCCATCATCACCCTTGTAGGAGTAGGCACCGTGAGCTACGGTACCATGCTCTGAGGTCTGGCCAGCTTCCTCGGCCTTGATCCCTGGAATTTTCGGAAGAAGGTATTTGAGAGGGTATTTTTTGAGAAATTGGTATGAATTAAATTATTTCATTTAGTAACTATTAAATAAAACTTGATTTTCTCTGATTCCCTGGTAAAACGAACATAGTATGAAAGAGTATAAGAATATTTAAGAAGTAGAAAATAACAACTTTAATTTATTTTTCTATTTCTCAAATTGTTAGATTAATATATATTTAAACATAGCTTGCGAGAAATGACTTTGTTATAATTTTAGGTCACATACACGCCCAACTTTTTACTTTATTTAGTAATCTTTACTTATATAAAATACTGTATAGTTTGTTTGTTTGAACGCGCTTATCTCGGGAACTACTGGTACTTATAAATTTATATTTTTTTATTGGTTAGTCTATTTATCGAGGACGGCTATAGGCTATAAAACATCCCGCTGCGATATGAAGGAGCAGGGCAGCGAGTGAATCCGCGTGATGCTGTGTGTTTAATCAGCAAGTCAACCTTCGTTTCGCTCTTCATTGCACGCTATAGAGTATGCCTGTTAGATATAACATAAAGTGTATCCACTCACCATTTTCAGTCTCAAAAGAGTACTTATATTCGTGTCCCTTGTTCTCCACTTCGAAACCGAGGATCCTTGCGGTTTTCTCCCCAGCTGGTCTGCTGGAGTGCACAGTTTCATGATCGAAGCTCTGCGGCGCCTGTGCGTGGTCAGAATACAAGCCGCGTTGTTGGAACTCGAGCCCTGATTGGTACTGCTCCGCTGACTGTGCGTATTTCTCCACTGATTGGCCGGGGTAGATCTGGCCGGCTGAGGCGGCGGCAATGAAGGCGGCAATTGGGGCGATCTTGAACATGGTAAAGAGATCAATTAGCGAAATATATTAGCTGCTTCTTTAGCTGCAGACTACTACTGCAGTTGTTTCACTGAATGTTAGACACCAATCCTAAAGTTAGCGTAGATTAATTTAAATTAAAAGTTTTTATATCTTATCGAAGGCTCAGTAACCTGCGACATATTTAATTGGTGATATACACTGACTTTAAACTTTGGATACAACTATGACTAATACTGACAGGATGTCATTCAAGAGTTGTTAAAACACTCCTGAAAGAAAAATCCGACAACACTTCAACTGGTTTTTGAGCACACAATAAAAGAATATTTCATTAAAATAATTCAAATTTGAAAATGAAACACAGTCCTTAAAACCGCACGAAAAAGCCATAAAGCCGTTCTTGAAAAAAAAACGAATTCTCTAATTAAATCACTGAATTTGACGTTCACTTTCTATTTTAAAACTTAGATCTAGTTCTAGACTCTTAATTATAACGTTTGAATGTAATTAAACTTTGATTATTACCAGCTTCATGGTGTTAGGATAAAACTGGAGTGTGAGACAGTTGGACAGCGAATGACTTTGTAATTTCTTACTTACGTTTATATAGCAAAAAAATTCCTAGTACGCATAGATGTATGAACTCACACTTGTGATAGAAATGACCATATAAAGTGTAAACTTGAGACAATTTTAGCGTCGGAAAAAATGGTGTAGGTCCTCCAAATAAGTCGTTTATTTCTTATGTTTTGCTAATAATGTTATGTATTACGAATCAAACATAACATTTATAGGAATGTTTGATTATTCAATTCGGCTTTACATGTAGATGTTACCCATTATTTCTACATGGGTTTTTTATGAAAAATAAAAATTGCCTCACATTATAATAATTTATCAAACAAAACTACACCTGAAAAGACGATATTACGTTTACTTGACGACAATTTCTTTAAAAAATTTGCAACACAGCAACAAACAAAAATATTGTCTGAACTCCACACTTATATCAGTTACATCGGAATCTGATTCAAGTACGAGAGTATTGTTAGGTAACAGTAGTAACGAGATGCGCCCGCCGGCTGAACAACTGGAGCATTGCCATAGAACCAAGAATGGATAGACATGGCCAGTGAGTTGACAATTCTGTCTGGTTGTGATATATAAGATATGCAAAAGTACAAAAGAAACTTGTGTACCTATTTATTAAACTATACAGTAGGAATCAAGATTTCTGAAAAAAAAATGGGATTTAGAAGTATGATCAGACGGGGTCTTGATAAAATGTCATCTTTCCGTTTTACAGCATTTTTTTGTTCTAAAAAATACACAGCTATCGAAAGTAATTTCCAAAATATTTACGTGCTTCCCGTAAATATAAGTATTAAGAACCCGGGTTGCGGGGCTAGCGCAATAAAGCACCAAGGCCTCGGCCTAGCCACACTCTCGACGAGAGAAATTGTTTGATGATTTTCCACTCACAAAAAAGGACATAGTCGATTTAAACAATATTTTTTTGCAATTAAACTTTTTTGTATAAATATAATTTTAATCACATTTTCCAGTTTCCTAAAAAGCAATTATTACTGCATTATTTCAAGACATTTTTATAGATAGAAACTAAAATATAAACTTTAAACGACAAATAGAAATTTCTTTTCATAACAATATTGCTTACTGATTCTTTTTCAGAAAATAAACTTGAATAAAAAAATTGCGTTGTCCCTCTAAAACATTCCTAACTCTACACTCACTAAGCAACAAAATGAGTCGCGCGCTGTGTCCAAACAGTCGATAGTATTACTATCAATAATAACTGATATACAATAGTTAAGTTACGTAAATATAACTTAACTGTAACTTCACACTATGTTGGTAATGATTGACAACTGGATTACTAGGTCAAACACATTCCAAACATTGGCGATAAATAACTACATATAATTTTAAGAACATACTATAGCTAATGAGATTGGAAAATAATGTTTTATAGTGCTGATTTGTTTTTTTTTATGTAAAGGGTCGGCAAACCAGCATACCGATTACCTGATGGTAAGCTATCAGCGCCGCCCATGGACACCCGCAACGGAGGAGTTACGAGTGCGTTGCCGACCTTTTAGGGATTAGGGATTTGGAGATTTAGGGATTGAGGAGGGATTGGGGGAGGGGAAGGACTTGGGCTTCCGGTAACCTCACTCACACGGCGAAACACATCGCTGTGGTTGTTCACGCCGGTTTTCTGTGAGGCCGTGGTATCACTCCGGTCGAGCCGACCCATTAGTGCCGAAGCATGGCTCTCCCACACTTAACTTTACTGGGTATCGTCAATATTTTTTTACTTTTTGTTTGACGAGCGGATATTCTCAAATCACACCCTGAGTTTTGACTGTGGCGAGAGAGACTGTCACACAATTCCTGTCAGACAGGTTAATTTCATTTTTACGTTCATTGATTACCTTTAAATAAATTTGTTATTTTATTTTCGTTTGAGTAACATACTGTGACGGAAAAGTGGTTCAAACTCTTTGACATCATGACGTCAATGGATGGTTGTCAAACGTTGCCTAGAGATTGTAAATTTCGTCGTGAATTGTCAACACGAGCTGGTGTAATCGGCAAGGCGTGTGGATTACACCACAGTGACCCCGAGTTCGAGTCCCGCCGTGAACATGAAGTTTTTTAGTTGATAGAAGTTTTGTGGAATTTTCTGGAATTATTTGTGTGAAAGAAATGAAAAATTAAAGAGCGAGAAGGAGAATAAATAAAAATGAGTAACGAAATTATTGGAAGGTTCTGGAGTCATGACGATCAAAAAGAATAACGAAATTGAATGTTCCAGAACCTGAACCGGGGGTATATAAGCGGAACTGCGGCTCACCGCTGGCAGTTGAGTTCTAAGTCCAAAGCGATTCGGAAGAAAAGGAAGAAGTGAAAAAGAAGAAAAGTGAGTGAAATAGTGAAGTGCAGTGAAATAGTGAAGTGCGGTCAGTTAAGTGAGTTAAGTCAGCGTGACAGTCGGCCGGACTCTGCTGGAGAGGAACGCCGATAACTTAACTCCGTGGACGCTGTAACTTAGGTACAATAGAAGTTCTGAAAACCGGTATTAGTGTTTCATTTCATCCAATCCCGTAACCCAAGCCCGCATAGTCAGGAACGTGACGTCAGGCACGTAACATTTGGTGTCAGAAGTGGGATTGGAGAAAAATGCCGCTAGTGCCGCAGGACGTAAGAAGAGTGAGTACCCGTGCAATGTCAGAAGCGCAGCGTGTGAGGGAAGAGGGTGCTGCAGCTCAAACCAGCGATGCAGAAGCCAAGCCTGTGCAGGTGGATCTTCTGCTACAGCTGCAGCAAATGATGGCAGAGCAAGCGCGCCGCCAAGAAGAGCAAGCGCGCCGCCAAGAAGAGCAAGCGCGCCGCCAAGAAGAGCAAGCGCGCCGCCAAGAAGAGCAAGCGCGCCGCCAAGAAGAGCAAGCACGCTGTCAGGCGGAACGGCTACGGGAGCTGAAAGAAGATCAAGCTCGTCGCCAAGAGGATCAAGCTCGCCGCCAAGAGGAGCAAGCGCGTCGCTTGGAAGAGATGCATAAGGATTTCACGAAGGGACTGCAAAAGGCTGTCGAACGGGTACAAGAAGTGGAGGAAGGGTTAGGCAAGTTGGAACATCGCGTCATGGCGATAGAGGAGAGACTGGAAGAAGAGATCTCCAAAATCAAGCAGGAAGTGACAAGCCCAAGCCCTTTGAAGAGCCGAAGCCGTCTTGCAGCCGTTTCCGACGCCCCAAATGTGGCCTCAAGCGCAACGAAAGGGCTCAAGATTCCCCATTACGACGGAACAACATCCTGGACCGCGTTCAAGCTACAGTTTGAGACACTTATGGAGGCTTATGGTTGGACCCAGAAGGAAGCACAGTCAGCCCTCACCCTGGCCCTCCGTGATCAAGCGCTCTCAGTGCTGGAAGCTATCGGCGCAAGTGGGGATCTCAGCTTTAGTACCCTCCTCGACGCACTTGAGGCACGTTTTGGAGACAGCCACCTCGAGCACGTGTACAGAGCGCAATTAAAAGAGCGTACTCAGCGTGCTAATGAGAGCCTACAGCAATGGTCCGTGGAAATCGAGAAACTTGTGCGTCGAGCTTTCCGGTCGACTCCGTCAATGATTGAAGGCACGCTTCTCCAAGGGTTCATTGACGGTATCCGGGACCCCGAAGTACGAGCTGCTGTTCATCTGGGCCATCACAAGAACATGAAAGAAGCTCTGGCCCATGCATTGGAAGTGGAAGCCGTGCGTGGTAACTCCCGTACCTTACGTCTGCGGGAAATGACGACAACGGAACAGGTACCTCCACTCCGTCGGAACTTCATGTGCTATGGATGCGGAGAGCGTGGGCACATGCGGAGCAACTGCCCGAAGAAGATGAACCGCCAGGACGCGGCGGTCTCAACTTCTGACCAGCAGGGAAACTAAATCCAGCCAGGGCCGCGGGGTGGGCGCTGGCCGGTAGTGGAATAACCCCAACGATCTACATCAAGCAAACTAACGATGGAAATACTCTGGTGGTAGACGGTCAAGTAAATGGGAAAAACAGTCAGCTAACATTAGATACTGGAGCTTCAAGGACGGTGATAAATGTTCGGCTGCTCGGGCAAAACATCAGGAAACACGTTAAACCAATTGTTGGCCTACGAATGAAATCAGCTACCGGCCAGTGGATACCGATAAGTGGAAAACTGCACGTAACAATCAAAATTGGGGAACGTGTTTATCGACATGAGGTTATTGTGGCCAAAATTCTGGATGACTGCATCCTGGGACTTGACTTCCTGCAAGGGCACCAGTGTAACATCGACTTAAAATCTGGAGTATTACTATGTGGAACTGAGGAAATTCCGATGAAGGGTGGAACCCTGGGAAAAGTTTGCTGTTTAAGAAGAACTGTTCTTGAACCAAAATCACAGACTCTCGTACCAATCGCATTACCTAGGAGGAGTGAAGGAAGTTTACCTCGAAGGTGCGCTGTGATTGATAAATCGGAACACGTAAACTCATGGCTACCGGCAAGGACTGTCGTGGGGTCATCTGATGTCAACCGCATTCCGGTATTCAACTTCAGTGATTCAAAAATTACGATTGAAGAAGGAGAGCCTGTGGGCGTTTTGGAAGAAGTGGCCTGGATAAGAAAATGCTCGGAAAATCTTGTGAAGAAGGACAGTACGGGAATAGACTTTGTAACGAAAATCTTAGACGAAAACAAAAGTTTGACAAAAGTGGAGACTATGAAAGCTAGAAATTTACTCCTTCGATTCTCTGATGTGTTTTCAAGAAGCGATGGTGATATTGGCCGAACTGGTTTGGTGAAGCATAAAATAAATACAGGTGATACAATGCCAATTCGTCAAAGGCCCAGACGTATACCATTCGCTCGTGAGAAAGAGGTTGAACAAATGATTGACGATATGAGGAGAAATGACGTGATAGAGCCCTCTTCTAGCCCTTGGTGTTCACCTGTCGTGCTTGTCAAGAAGAAAGATGGTTCAACGAGGTTTTGCGTAGACTATCGACGATTGAATG